TCAGTTTCTAGCTGCTCTGATTATTTGTTCGGCAGACGGGCTACAACCTTGTCGCACACCTTTCCTAGTTTTAAACCATTCAGTGTTCCCCTGTTCTGTTCGAACAACTACCTCTTGGTCCAGGTCCAGGTTCCTCATGAGCACAATTAAGTGTTCCGGAATCCTCACATTTTGCAATGTTGTCTATAGCTTGTCTATAGCTTATCATGATCCACACAATTGAAAGCCTTTGCGTAGTCAATAAAGGACACACAAACAGCTTTCTGGTATTCTCTGTCTCAGCCTACATCCATCTGACATCAGCAATGAGATCCTTTGTTGCACGTCGTCTTCTGAAACCAGCCTGAACCTCTGGAAGTTCTCTGTCCCTGTCACTGTGTGCTTGCAGCCATTTCTGTATTACCTTTAGTAAAACTTTACTCACATGGGTGGGATATCAGTGATATTGTCTGATGATTTCCGCATTCTGTTGGGTCACCTCTCTTTGGAATGGGCACAGATATGGATCTCTTCCAGTCAGTTGGCAAGGTGGTTGTCTTCCAAATTTCTTGGCAGAGATGAGTGAGTGCCTCCTGTGCCGCCTCACTTTCTTGAAAGATTTCAATTTTTACATCAGTTCCTGGTGCCTTGTTCTTTGCCAATCCCTTCAGTGCATGTTGGACGTCTTCCTTCAGGATCATTGGCTCTTGATCATATGCTCCCTCTTGCAATGGTGAAACATCTGTATATTCCTTCCATCTTCTTTTGCTGCTTTCTGCACCATTCAGTATTTTGCCCATAGAATCCTTCAATACCGCAAGTCAGAGTTTGAATTGTTTTCTTCAGTTCCCTCAGCTTGAGAAATGCTTAGCATGCTCTTCGCTTTTAGTTTTCTAACTCCAGGTCTTCGCACATTTTATTGTAATACTTGACTTTGTCTTCTGGAGCTAACCTTTGAAGTTTTCATTTCAGCTTTTGTCCCTCTTCACGTCTTCTGTTTGCTTTAGCATCTCTGTGCTGGAGAGCAAGGTTCAGAGTCTCTTCTGACATCCATTTGGTCTTTTTCTTCTCTCTTGTCTTCTCAATGACCTCTTGCATTCTTCCTGTAGGATGTTCTTGATGTCATCCCACAATTCTTCTTAATTATATGAAGAAAATGTGGTATCAGGAGTGGAGGAAGGCTCATTAACAACCTGCGATATGCAGATGATACAACGTTGCTTGCTGAAAGTGAAGAAGACTTTAATTACTAATTGATGAAGATCAAAGGCCACAGCCTTCTCCATGGGTTGTACCTCAATGTAAAGAAAACAAAAATCCTCACCATTGGACCAATAAATAGCATCCATAAAAATGGAGAAAAGATTGAAGTTGTCAAAACACTTCATTTTTCCTGGATCAACCATCATCACTCATGGAAGCAGCAGTCAGATCAAACGACATATTGCATTGGACAGATCTGCTGCACAAGACCTCTTTAAAGTGTTGAAGAGCAAAGATGTCAGCTTGAGGACTACGGTGTGCCTGACAGAAGCCGTGATATTTTCAGTCACCTCATATGCATGCGAAGGTTGGATAACGACTAAGGAAGACTATAGAAGAATTGATACATTTGAGTTATGGTGTTGGAGGAGAATACTGAAAGTGCCATGGGCTGCCAGAAGAACCAACAGATCTGTGTTGGAAGAAGTGCAGCCAGAGTGATTCTTGGAGGCCAGGATGGCTGGACTTCATCTCTCATACTTCAGACATATTGTCAGGAGGGAGCAGTCACTGGAGAAGGTTATCATGTTTGGTAAGGTGGAGTGTTGGAGAAAAGAGTAAAACCCCCAAAGAGATGGATTAGCACAGTGGCATCAGTGGGCTCTAGCGTGGCAACGATCATGAGGTTGGCCCAGGGTCGGGCAGTGTTTTGATCTGTTTTGTACAAGGTCGCTCTTGAGTCGGTACTGATGCGATGGCACCAGACAACAGCAGCCAGTGTTGTTGGGTCCAATGAGTCTGGATCCTGTAAGAAATGGGAAGTGCTGTTTCCTAGCCCCTCCCTTCTCTGTGACTGGGAGATTGACTTTGATCAAAACCCTCCCAGCACGTGCCCCTCCTCCTCTCTCTATGGGTGGCTGCTGGACCGCCTGCTTGCTCATTTAAAGTACCCACCTACTCAAATCCAGGAGTCCTTTCTCTTAGCTCCCTGGGGCTGCCCCTGCCAGGAGTCCTCCGTCCAGTCCTCCCGCTCCCTGTACACCCATCCCAGACACCCCCACTTCCTTTGCTGTGTTGCCTCCTGCTCTGTGGCAGAATTTGCTCAGCTTCTTGCCACCCACCTTCTGTCTCATTGAGGGCCTGCTGGGCTCCACCTCTCCTCCCTCCCTCCTTCCTGCTTCTCGGACACAGCAGGGCCTTGGGGGGAACGATTGCTCAGAGCACTTAGTGGACAGAGCACAGTGACCTGGGGGGGCGGTGGTATCTGCTAGTTCTGTATGGGGTCCCCTTGAGCCAGGCACCCTACAGCAGCAAAGACCCAGGAATTGGAGTTTCTCCCATCAACATTGACACCTGCTCATGCTTCTCCAGCCTTAAACTCACCCACCTCCTCTAACACCTTGTGTTTGTTAAGTAGAGTTGGGTCTGACTATACACGGTTTCCGAGGCTGCACATCTTTGTGGGAGAAGGAAATCTCATCTCTCTCTCACAGAGCAGCTGGTGAGCTGGAACCAGTGACTTTGTGGTCCGCAGTCCGGTGCTTAGCCTAGAGAGCCACCACGCTTCCCTCTGACCCCTTGTTCCTCTTCAAAACAAACAGGAACACTCTCTCTGCGTCTTCTCTTCCCCTCGTTCGCCTGCTCCGGGATGGCTCTTCTGGTACCTGGCTGCCCCTCTGTTTCACACTTGTCTCTCTCAAACGTTCTGTCTGGGCACCGTCCTCTTGTCTGCCCTTCCCTCCTTTCCCCTCCCCTCCCTTTACAATCCTGGGACCTCTCTGCTGGATCTCCCATCCCTTGTCTGATGACGACCCCTTCCAGTATCCCTTTCTCGCGAGCTTCAGATCTGTGTCCACCTGCTAGGCACCTGGGACAGACCCTAGGTCCAGTAGTGGACTCAGCCCGCATCTTGATGCTCCTCCATGCCCTGGTGTTGTGAGTTGGAAAAGGCACCACCATAGAAGTCAGCTGTCTTCCTCGACACCACATCTCCTCGCACTTGGAGGCTGCAGTAACCTCTGCTTACAGAGACCCTAGTTGTGGGACCCTTTCCCATTGGAGGTCACACTGCCACAGTGCCTTCTGGTGCAGACACGTGGAAATGACCACACAGCCACATCTTCCTCTTGACCTTCTGGTACATAGCCGGGCACCCTGACCACGCCCCCTGCAGGGGCTTCATCTAGAGCCTATTGCGTGGATGACTGGAGGCTGCTCGGTCTCCTGCACACACTGAACCGCTGCCCTCGCCTCTGTTTCTCCATGGAATCAGTCTCACCTCTTCCCTGGAGCCGACAAAACCTCCCACCCTCTCATAGTCCGGCTGCTCCCTTCTCTTTTATACCACCCTCCCACCCCAGTGCTGCACAGGGGTCTCACCTGCACCCTACAGCACCCACACTCCCCTGCGTGATGCCCGCCTTTGAGTCACCAGCATCTTGAAGACTTTTGGGCTCACAGTAGAGGTGCTTGGTAAATAGTTGTTCAACTAATGGATAAATCTGTCTTATTATTGGTTTGCAGAAAATAGTGAGAGAAAACCTCCACCAGAAGTAAGTTTCAAGAATTTGCAGAGTTGTTCTTTTTTGGATGGTGTTTGTTTTTGGCAAAGCTGATTGGAAACTTGGGGACTGAGCCCTGAGAGCTGCCAGTGACCATGGACTTTAGTCCCCAGCTCGTGTGCGGAGGGCGTGGAGAGACAGTGCTCGCTGCCCTGGGGCTGTCCCACCTTGTCTTAAAGTCCCCCCAGCTGGGCCACAGTCTGGAAGACATGCCTTCTCCGGATGTTGTGAGAGGATTGTGGTTTGGAGCTGGCCTACCTGTTTGGGGTTATGCTGGCCCTGTTCTGGCTCTTTGGTTGGTCCTGTTGGAGCTGACCCTGTTCAGAGTGGGCAGGCGTGGAGCCCTGGCCTGAGCACAGCATGGCAGCCAGGGGTTCTGGGCATGGAGGTCAGTTACAGGCTCAAGGGGGCTCACACAGACAGAGGTGCAGGGAGGAGGCTGGGGCCCGAAATGTGTATCTGGGGGTGGTGAATGGGGCCCTGGGAGTGAGGCAGGAAGGACCCTCAGTCTATGGAAAAGCAAGGGTGGGGTAGCCCAGGAGGGGGATCTGGGGTGGGGCAGGGAAGCTTCCTCTGGACTTGACCAGCTGGGTAAGACAAAGGCTGACAGTGATCTGTACCCGCTCTTGGTCTGGGGCTCCCCAGTACCTCTGCGGCTGCCTTGCTTCTGTGCACCCCTGTCCCTCCACGGTCAGGGATAAGCAGAGTCCAGTCTGGCTGTGGGTGTGGTTTGCACTGACTTCAATTCTGTCCTGTGGGGGTGTGGGACTTGAGTGTGGTTCTGTCCATTGTTACGTGCTGGCCCTGTGTCCTCAGGGCAGCCGACATTGGAGCAGTGAGCCAAATGTGACGTCCGAGGACCTGCACTGGCTGCGGACCCCGGTGGTCAGCATGGCTCCAGTGCTGCCCATTAGTGTGCTGCCCACTGGACTTGTCAGGAGCTCTGGTGCCCGTCTCGTGTAGAGGGGTAGACAACGAGCACTGCCCAGAACAGTGCCCAGTACACTGCCTAGAACAGTAGGACCTGTGGTCAGCTCTGCTGCTAACAGTGGCTCTCGTCTGCCTCTGACTTTGCTTCCCTGCCCGCGTCCCTGTCCCAGTGACCCCGAGTTGTCTGTCGGTGGCTGTGTTTTGATCTCCAGGCCTTCCTCCTTAGTCTTGTCTGGTTTGAGCATCACAGTGGCACGGGGCTCCTCCGACAGTTCCTGGAGCCCCCTGGGCAGGCGTCTTGGGGGCTCACCCTGTGCCTTGTTTCAGACAACATCCCTGCGGACCTCCAGGACCCTTTCTACATCGACCAGTACGAGCAGGAGCACATCAAGCCGCCTGTCATAAAACTCCTGCTGTCCAGCGAGTTGTACTGCCGCGTCTGCAGCCTCATCCTGAAGGGGGACCAGGCGGCCACTCTGCAGGGTCATCAGGGCGTCATCCAGGCCCTGTCTCGGAAGGGCATCTACGTGATGGAGAGCGACGACACCCCCGTGACCGAGCCTGACCTCAGCTGTGCGCCCGTGAAAATGGTGAGTCTGTCCCCCCCCTGCGGTGGGGTTGGGTCTGTGAGGAGTTTAGAGCTCTTGCCTAGCCCCTGAGCACCCAGCGAGCCCAGTTACCTGCTTATCGCCTCCCCACTAAGCAAAGGCACCCTGATGGCCTGGTGGAGAGCTGTATGCTACAGCCTCTGCGTCCGTCCGTGGGGCGTTTCTGGGGTTCGCACTCGTCCTCAGGGTGGCTGCTGGCTGGGGTGGGGTGGGGTGTGTCAGAGCACACACAAGGCAGGCCTTCTGCGGGCTCTTGTTAGATATTTATGAAGCGCCTAGTGGGTTTGATCTTAAAAGTGTTATTTGGCCTCCTGGTGTGGCGTGTACGATAAGCACTGAGCTGCTAGCTGCAAGGTCAGTGGTTTGAAACCGCCTGCTGCTCCTTGGAAATCCTTCGTTGGGTTGCTGTGAGTTGGAACTGACTCGATGGCACAACAGCAAAACCAACGAAAAGCCTTTGCCCCCTGATGGGTGGCTGCTGGCTGCCCCCCCCCCCCCCCATCCTGCTCTCGTGACCCTTCCAGGCCATTCTGGGTCCAACCCCTCAGGGTTTGTTAAGAAAGGGCGAGTGTGCCTGCTGTCATCTTGGAAGGCTGATCACTCTGCTCATGGCCACAATTGCCCTGGACTTGTCACCTCGCTCTCTGTCCCTGTGTCCAAGCTTTGCCGTGTGAAGGTGAAGACAGGAACAGAACTTGGAGCGCCTCTCTGCCCACTTCTCCCACCCCACCCCCACCACAGGGGCCATCTGCCCACCTTAGGGGAAGATCTCCATCCATGGGTCCCTTCCCTTTCCTCACGGGGGGTCGGGGGCGCACGAGTGTCGAGGAGGGAGGAGGGGCACTGAGTCGGCGGCCCTGCCCCCAGAGCCCACACATGGCTATGATTGACGCGCTGATGATGGCGTACACCGTGGAGATGATCAGCATTGAGAAAGTGGTGGCCAGCGTCAAGCGCTTCTCCACATTCAGCGCCTCCAAGGACCTTCCCTACGACCTGGAGGATGCCATGGTGTTCTGGATCAACAAGGTGAGTGCTCGAGGACAGGCACCTGTGCTGTTGGTGGTCTTTATTTTGACCAGTATGGAAGGCGTCTTTCTTGTTGGGAGAAATGGAATCTTTCTCCTTGCTCATCTAGACATTTAGGACCTAACCTCTTAGACAGTGTCAGTGAACCCCAGACCCAAACCTACTGCCAAGGAGCCCGTCCTGACTCACGGTGACCCCACCTGACAGAGGAGACCCACCATAGAGGGTTTTTAAGGCTGTCGTCTTTACAGGAGCTCACCAGGTCTTTCTCCTGCGAAGCCGCTGGTAGGTTGGAAGTGACGACTTTCCACGAGCAGCCCGGCACTTAACCACCGGACTGTTTCAGCTCGGGGCACACAGACAGCACAGAACCGCTCTGTGGATTTTCCTTGGTGACTGGACTTGGACCCTCGTGTAAGAAAGACCGTGTTCTTGTGCCCGCTAGATCTGCAGGTGGCGGACTGTGTTCTTGTTTGCTCTGGAGATGACCAGGACATGCTGGCTGTGGACTGTGTGTGAACGGGGCTAGTCTGGGAGCTGCTGGAAAGTGCTTATTTCAGGCCAGCACAGCCTGATTTCAGGAATGGGCAGAAGTGACGATCCTGAGACACTGTTCTCTTTCCCAGAGGCCATTTAGGGAAGCAGGGTGGTCGGAGAGACCCCCTAGATCCTGGAACCCAGCGGTAAGGGGTGGACAGTAGAAAGCCTTCATTTGGACTCGTGCCTCTCAGTTCTCCCTGAGTGTCAGGAGGGCTGGGCCGGAGTCTTGTCCATGGTGCTGACTTTTCCAAGGAGCCCGTGGGTGGACTTGAACTGCCAGCCTTTTGTCAGCAGCTAAGTGTGTTAACTGCGTGCACCCTATGGCTGGCTGGTCCTCTACGCCCTGGGCACAGCTCCTCTGATAGTGGACACCTTCCCTGACTCTCGAGTATACGCGTGGGTGGGCAGCACCTCGAAAGAATGAGGTTCCAAACACGCTGCTGGGTATCAGTGTGGGAGACTGGAAACAGGGCCTGTTTCTGTGGTCAAAAAGTCACATTTTACCTTTTCTCTCTTAACAACTTTTATAATTTGTATTAAATGATGTAGCCATTGTAGGAAATTCAGAAACTGAACGAGTGAAAAGAATAGCATGTATATTATCCATACCTTATAATGCATAAAAAGGAGCTCTGGTAGCTGCGAACATTAAGGTCAACAGTTCAAAACTATCAGCCGCTCTGCAGGAGAAAGATGAGGCTTTCTGCTCCCGTAAAGATTTACAGGGTCGCTATGGGTTGGTACCGACTCGATGGCACTTAACAACAACAACATAATGTCTAAATTGTTGTTGTTAGGTGCCATGGAGTTGGTACCAACCCATAGCGACCTTATGCACAGTAGAACGAAACGCTGCCCGATCCTGGGCCAACCTCACTATTGTTGCCACGCTTGAGTCCATTGATGCTACCATTTGGCCAATCCATCTTGTCTTCCTTTTTTTCCTCTGACCCTTCACCTTACTAAACACGATATCCTTCTCCAGCGACTGGTCCCTCCTGACAATATGTCTGAAGTATGAGAGGCGAAGTTTGGCCATCCTGGCCTCTGAGGAGCACTCTGGCTGCACTTCTTCCAGAACAGATCTATTGATTCTTTGGGCAGCCCTTGGCACTTTCAATATTTTTCTCCAACACCACAACTCAGAAGCATGAATAGTACTAGCATTTTAATTGGGCATATCCTTTACGCTTTCATTTCTTTGTGTGTAGTATGTTGTTGTTGCTGTTAAGTGTGTCATTGAGTCGACGCTGACTCATAGTAACCCTGTATAGGGTTTCTGAAGAGTGTTTGAACCGCCGATCATGAGGTTAGCAGTCCAGTGGCTATCCTACAGCGCCACACCACTACTCCAAATCAAGTGTATGATTTGGTAAATACAATGCTCAGGTCGTTTGATTTCTTGGCTGCTTCCATGGGCGTTTGTGGTGGATCTAAGTTAAATGAATCCTTTGACAACGTCAGTCTTTTCTCCATTTATCTTGATGCTATTTTTTGGTCCCGTGATGAGGATTTTTATTTTCTTTACATTGAGGTGCAACCCAATGTAAGTGTTTTAAGTCCTTTTTGCTTTCAGCAAGCAAGATTGTATTGTTGGTATATCGCAGGTTGTTAATGAGTCTTCCTCCAATCCTGGCGCCACGTTATTCTTCATAGAACCCAGCTTCTCAGATTATTTGCTCACTGTACAGACAGAATAAGTTTGGTGAAATGATACAACTCTGGTGCACACCTTTCCTGATTTTAAACCTTTTGGTGTCCCCTAGTTCTATTTGAATTACTATCTCTTGGTCTATATGCAAGTTTTTCATGAGTACAGTTAAGTGTTTGCAATACTGGTTTTCCTCAGTGTTGTCCATAGCTTGTCCACACAATCAAATGTTTTTGTATAGTTAATAAAGCTCAGGTAAACATCTTTCTGGTATCCCCTGCTTTCAGCCAAGATCCTTCTGACGTCAGCAGTGATACCCTTGTTCCACGTCCCCATCTGAATCTGGCTTAACCCTCCGGCAGTTCTCTGACAATGTACTGTTGTAGCAGATTTTGAATTCTCTTTAGCAAAATTTGACTTGCCTGTGATATGAATGGTATTGTCTGATGATTTCTCTATCCTGTTGGGTCTCCTTGCTGTAGACTGGGCACAACATGGATCTCTTCCAGTCTGTTGGCCAGGTAGCTGTCTTCCAAATTTCTTGACATAGACGAGTGAGTGCATCAGTTTGTTGAGATTTCAGTTTGTATTCCATTAGTTCCTGGAGGTTTGGTTTTCACCAATACCTTTCAATGCACCGTGGACGTCTCACAGGTAGCCAATTCTGGTTTAAGGATTTCATGCTCAGGCACTGAATTTTCCTCTACCCGTGGACTGTATCCATACTTCTGGAAAAACTCTCCTATTTTCATAATATCCACTGAATTTCTTTCTTTTCATCAGTACTTTGGTTGCCTTTAAGAAATCAGTGCTTTCTGGACTTTGCAAGCTTGCTTTGTGAAGAAGAATATTAACATCATCCTTTAGAGTGTGGACATCTGACTGCAGGTCACATAAAATCTTCAGTGTAGAATCTTCTAAGTCGCTCTCCTCTCCATTCAGTGCCTGTTGCAGCCTGGCCGTCTCACTGTCCAGGGTGACGGCCAGCGACCGCAGTTTCCCATAGAAGCTCTGGATGGGATCCATTGACGAGGCTTGAACGAAGCTTCTCTGGAGGAGGACTCCAACAGCCGCTCTGCCTGGCCCCGGCTCCTGTGCCCGCCACTACTTTGAATCTCAGCATGCTGGGCTACCATTTCGTTTTGATACAATGACTTTGTTTATTTGTTCTGTCTTCTTTTGATGCTTTCTGTGCCATTCCGTGTTTTATCCATAGAACCCTTCAATATTGCACATAGAATTTGAGTTTTTCCTCAGTTCTTTGAGCTTCAGAAATGCTGCGCTTGTTCCTCCCTTTCGGTTTTCTAACTCTGGGTCTTTGCACATTTCATTATAATACTTGGATTTGCTTTCTCGAGCTGTTCCGTTCTTGTACCTCCTCATTTCTTCTCTTTGCTTTAGCATCCTATGCTAGAGAGCAAGTTTCAGAGTCTCTTTTGACTTCTAATTTGGTGTTTTCTTGTTTTTAACTTTTTATTGTGCATTGAGGGAAGCTTAACAGAAAAGATCCCCATGACATAAAACATGCTTCGTGTTATTACAACTATTGCAAGCGCCTGCATGAACCACCAGCTCACAGGAGTTTCTCTGCTCACATTAACTCTTGCATTCCTCCCGGTGTCTCCCCTACTTTTATATCTCCAATGCTCTTGTATGTTTCCTTCCCCATCACACAAGATAGCGTGTGTCTACTGTGGCGCTGCGGGTTAATGTGCTGGACTCCAGAGTTGGTTTGAACTGCGGTCGGTGGTTCAAGCTCACCAGTTGTTCTTTGGAAACCGTGTATAGGGTTGCTGTGGGTCGGAAAGGACTTGACGGCACTTAGCAACGACAATTTTCTACCTAGTGAATAATTTTCTCTTCCCTCCCACCCTGGTAATCATAACAGAATGTTTCTTTTAGCAAGAAAACTTTTTTTTTAAACTTTTTATAACAGTGGTCTCATACTATATTTGTCTTTTTTTTTCTTGACTAATTTCACTTTTTCATAGTCCTATCTTGGCTCTTCTGGACTTGCTTTAATTTTCTTCAGCGAACTTGCATACAAGCAGTTGATGGTCTCTTCCACAGTCTGCCCCTGGCCTTGTTTTGGCTGATGATATGGAGCTTTTCTATTGTCTCTTTCCACAGATGCAGTCAATTTGATTTCTGTGTATTCCGTCTGGTGAGGTCCATGTGTTATAGTCATCTTTTATGTTGTTTAAATAAGGTATTTTCATTGAACAAATCATTGATCTTCCACAATTCTGTCATGCGACCTAGAGCATCATTTCTGTCACCAAGGCCTATTTTCCAACGACTGATCCTTCCTCTTGGTTTCCAACTTCCAGTAATGATCAGTACATCTTGACTGTATGTTTGATCAATTTCAGACTGAAGAAGTTGATAGAATTCTTCAGTTTATCATTCAGTTTAGTGATTGGGATGTAAATTTGAGTACTAGTGGTATTAACTGATCTTCCTTGTAGGCGTGTGGATATTATCCAGTCACAGAAAGCATTGTACTTCAAGATGGATCTTAAAATGTTCTTTGATGATGAATGCGATGCCATTCCCCTCCCATTTGTTATTCCCTGCATAGAAAAACATGTGGTTGTCAGATTCAAAATAACCAATACTAGTCCATTTCAATTCAATATTAAATGCCTACGGTCTCGATGTTTATGGATTCTATTTTATTTTTGACAACTTCCAGTTTTCCTTGGTCTATACTTCATATAGGAGTCCTGGTGTGGTGCTGTGGGTTAATGCGCCAGACTGCAAAGCCATTTGAACTGCAAGGTCAGCAGTTCAAGCTCACCAGCTGCTC